CCCAACAACAATCCGGGTCCTCATTTTATCCACCTCGGAAGGATGGAAGGCTGAGTCAACCTTGAGCCGGTGAGATTTGAACAGCCGAACTGCAGGACTGCAGTCAGCTGAAGTAGCCTGCAGTGCTGCATTTAACCACTGTGCCACCTCGGCTAGTGATGAAGATGCAGGCCTGGAAACCAGGAAACTTCTAGGCCTCCCTTAGGCATGAAAGCTAGCTTTGTGACTTTGGGCAATCTCTTGTCTCTCAGCCCAACCCATCTCACAGGACTGTTATTAAGATAAGATAAGAAAGTAAGATAAGGTAAAGTAGGACAGGGCAGGGCAGGACAGGATAGGACAACACAGGACAGGACAGGATAAGATAACTCGTCATTTTTTTACTGAGCACACTGGCCAACATTAGAAATGAAATTATGTTGTGAGGAAAATAAGAAGCAAGAGTATTACATACATTCGCAAGTAGTAGTAGTTTCATCAGGTAGGGAGCTACATTTGGTGGGTCCTAGGCAGAAGGCCTTCTCAGCTGTGGCACATTGTTGAACAGCTTTCCTCGAGATTAAATTGGAACCATTATTCCTAACTTTACAAAGATCCTCAAGACCTGATTGTACCTGATTATGGGGATGCCAGAGAACTTGGCAAACTAGTGAGGTGGCTTCATTATTTGAATGAATGATTGAATGAATGAATGATACAGCTAGTAGAACATTTTGGGTAAAGCTTTCTTCAGCTAAGTTCAACCTCATAACTTGCTTCACAGCCAGCCTAGAACCTTCCACTGTCCTGAACTTGACCCATACTTTGGACTGCTGAATCCATCTAGGAGTGGTAAACTTCTATTTTCTATCAAACTCCCAACCTATTCCTATTATATTCCTTTAGAAGCATTTAAATTTTCCAGGGAATCCTGTTAGCTTAATAGCTTGTCTCTTGCATTATTTTCAATTTAAGAATTTTAAAATGTTAAAAAAACTTCCAAAAATTTTAGTTTAATTAGATGTTGCAGCCTCCACATTGACAACATTCTCTGGTAAACTTACACATTTATCTATTATATTTGTCCCTGGTTTTACGCATTACTGAAAAAAACAGGTCTCTGAGGCTGCATGTTCCAAGGGACAAACAATTTTTTAAAACTTATTACCTTTTTGTCTTCATTAGAATTGACTTTTATATACTGTATCCCATTGCATGGATTGCTTGAAATCCGAACACTTTGCTGGACACAAAAAGTTCATTCTGGATTGGTTTGGTGGAAGTATCTAGCTTCACTTTTTTCATAGACAACTGATGATCCACTGCATCTTTCTTTCAGAGAGATTTCCTTATCAGATTCTTCAGTGGCTTCAACCATGACAGAACTGCCTTCACTGAAAAAATTGGGATACATTCAAAGATGTCTCTGCCTTGAAAATAACCCATGTTGTATTTATATGGTCAAACATCACCACAGGAAATGTTTTATGACATTTTGTATGATGTCATAAATTGTTTTATGATAATTTTTATGTAATAAAATGTTTTATAAAATTTGCCAAATTTCAATTTCATAGGAATCGTGGGTCCCAGCAGTGGGATACATTCTGTAAATTAGCCCATATGAGGTATCTTGGTTTATATACGTATTTATATTCTGCCATTACTATTTTGATAAATAACTCAAGGTGGCTAACATACCTAATTCTCCCATTCTTCCCCTATTTCCTCGCAACAACAACCCTGTGAGAATAGTTGGCCTGAGAGAGAGTGACACCCAGTTGCCTTTCATGGCTAAAATGGGACTAGGACTCCCAGTCTTTTGGTTTCTAGCCTGCTGCCTTAACCATTACATCAAACTCACTCTCCTTTAATATGTATTTTATTTCATTTTAGTTTATATTTAGTGAGTGTGTTTGTGTGTGTGTGTATGTATACACACACACACACAAACTCCACACACACACACACAGTATATAGATATAAGATGATGCATATTACTAGTTTTATATCTGTACTCTACTTTTCAGGACGACGTCTCAAAGATTTTGTGAATAATATTGTGGTACTCTATTATAAATGAAATCAAGGCTCTCTTTTTTTATTGCTTCTTATTGCAGAAAGAGGAAATACTTGCTCAGATTTCATTAGAACATCCCCTAGAAAGCGACAAAAGTAAGGATCTGAAAGCAACTGAAACATCAACTACTACTAGTTTTGAAAGACAACTTTTCCGTCCTATATATAAAGGAGAAGTAAATGCAATTTGTATCCAGCTCTTTTGTATTGATGAGCAACATGAAACAAGGCAAGTACATATTAGATACATGATAACAGAGCAATTTAAGGGCAAAAATGAATTTTCTGAAAGCAATCATATTTTATATTATTGATCTATGTAATATTCTATTTACCTGAAATAGATATACCTGGCTTATCAAGCTTTTATAAGATCAAGCTATTTATAATTTATAGGTAGGTAGAAATAAATAGGACAGCTCACTGTACAGAGAAGTTTAAACGTAAGTATATCATTTGAACTTGGAAGATAAATATTACTTTTCTGATAAAAGTGGTACCAATCGTTCACTTACATAGGAATATTGAATTGGGGCGTGGCACGACAAAACCGCAGTCCACTAAAGAAACCTTTTATGATTAATTTGATCATGAGGATTTCAGGGTAAAAAGTAATTAACAGCGTGGCTAACATATTTGTAG